CCAGCTACTTGGGAGGCAGAGGCAGGAGACTCGCTTGAGCCCAGGAGTTGGAGGTTGCTGTGAGCTGTGATGCCATGGCACTCTACCCAGGGCGACAGCTTGAGGTTCTGTCTGAAAAGAAAGAAAAAAAGGAAAGAAAAGAAACCTCTATTAAGCTGCCCAGTGTGTGGAACCAGGTTACATAGCAGCCCTAGCAGACTCATATAAACCAGGAGGCAGGTGGCTGCCCCTACCATTGGTCAGGCATTTGGCACACATTTACTTGCTTCCACTCCACATACTTTGTCTGATTTTTTTTTTAAGAGACAGAGTCTCACTTTATCCCCCTCAGTACAGTGCCGTGGTGTCACACAGCTCACAGCAACCTCCAAGAATCACCAAGGCTCCTGGTGATTCTCTTGCCTCAGCCTCCCCAGTAGCTGAGACTATAGGCACCCACCACAATGCCTGGCTATTTTTTTGTTGCAGTTTAGCTGGGGCCGGGTTTGAATCCACCACACTCAGTATATGGGAACCACACCCTGCCCTCTGAGCCAGAGGTGCTGCCCACCCCACCCCCCTTTTTAAAGAGTCTCATTGTGCCGCCCCCAGTGACACAGCTCATAGCAACCTCCAACTCTTGGGCTTAAGCAATTCTCTTGCTTCAGTCTCCTAAGTAGCTGGGACTACAGGCACCCACCACAACGCCCAGCTACTTTTTGTTGCAGATATCATTGTTTAGCAGTTCGGGTCGGGTTCAAACTCACCAGCCTTGGTGTATGTGGCTGGCACCGTAAGCACTGTGCTACAAGCATGGAGCCACTTTTTCTGATTTTTGTAACAGCCCTGGAGTATGAAAATTATCCCTGAGGCAATCTCAGAAGCATGCAGCTCAGATCTCCCTTTAGGAGGGAACAGGCTGTGGGAGTGCAGGGAGTTTATAGTCTCCACCTGCGGAATCCATCAAAGTATTCACCCTGAGGCCACTCTCTCCTCAGGGTGCCAGACAATAACTGACCACAGGGTGGGTACTAGAGCCAAGTCTTTCCCGCCCCAGGCTGGACTCCTCCAGTGAGTAATCTCTGAAGAAACAAAATTTCCTCAGAGCTATGCTGCAGTCTTTTCCTGCTCAATCCTGGTCTCCTCCCCCTCTCCTCTCACTAGTCAGAACAGCATCCTAGAATGAAATTTCTCCTGCCTATTCCTGCTCCCTTGCACCTTCACCCTTGTCATTTCCTCCAACAAGTCTCTCGCACATCTAAGTCCACATTGGTATCTCTATTGCAGAGGACCCAAAATAACACTAACCACACTTCAGAGTTTAGGAAACTGAGTGACTAACATCCCACATCTCTGACTCCAAAACCTAAGCTCTTAACCAATGGCTTAAAGCAGGGGTCCTCAAACTTTTTAAACAGGGGGCCAGTTCACTGTCCCTTAGACAGTTGGAGAGCCGGACTGTGGGCCCCTGGATGAGTCGGCTGCTAAGCAGGACAGGCAGTGGCGGCAAAAACACCCAGCAGGCCGCATAAATGTCCTAGGTGGGCTGCATGTGTCCTCAGGGCCGTAGTTTGAGGACGTCTGGCTTAAAGAGTAAAAAAAGTGTGTACATACAATTTGTAAAGTAATGGTATAAAAATCCACGACTTTGCAAAAGACCAAGTTGTGCCATAAGAAGAGGGATCATGTCGGATTCTGCTCCATCATTTATCAGCACAGTGATATTCAACAGATGAGTCCTTTATCCGTATCCTCCCTATTTTATGGATGATAAGACCATCACCAAACCTGCTTACCTGACAAGGCAGTTGCAAGAATCAAATGAAACTGTTCCTCCAAGAAAGAAGGCAAGAAAACACAGTATGTGAATTGAAGATTCTGACAGAAAAGCATGTGGGAGCATATGGATGATGGCCCCGAGCCTGAAGGATTCTACCAAACCAAGTAGCATCAGTGCTCTCAAATGGGAAAAAATGAATGTGGAATGGAGAAAACGAAGGGCAAAATTAATACTCCAAACCTCCAAATGGCTTTTCTGCCTCAAGACTATCCACCTCTTGTTCATGCTCACATAACCAGAGCCTTTAACAAGTTTCTGCCCTGAATTAGGCACTTAGGAAATAACTACTGAACCAGAACAACTTCCAGAAGATCTCCAATCACCATCTTCTTGTCCTAAGACACAGGCCCATGCCTCCCCCACAGTCACAGTGCAAAGCAGGGTACCTGGCAGTTCATGTTGTCTTCAGCTTCAATGAGTTTCCCCCGATATACCTCACCGGTGTTTGTCTCACAAGTTACAATGTGGCCTTCGGCCTCATGCAGGACTTTAATCGGCACACCAATAGACATCTCGGCAGGAAGAGTTCTACAGAGAGAGAGAGAGAGAGAGAGAGAGGGAGAGAGAATAGTCAATGAGTATTTCAGAGACTGAGAAGACATGCAACACACACCATGCCTCCCTCAAGGCCTAGCATTCTTTAAAACTTAGCAAAGATGCAATTTTCTTTTTGAAGAAAAACTCAGCTCCTGGTTTGAAGGACCTTATCTGGCAAAAAAAAAAAAAA